CCCCGCCCGATATTTTTTTAAAGGTTTCAGATTTTTTGTGCACACCTGGGGACTGCCCCAAGTGTGCACAAACATCTTCCTCCCCCCCCAGGTGCCCCCGATGTGCGGAAATAAGTATCCGCACACAGGGGGCGCCTTTCGGTATTAGATATATAGATGGGAGATTGCTGAGTTACAAGTTATTACAACACTCAGGACAATGGAACCCCCTGGGCTTAACAGAGATATCAGTTTCTTATCTAGTTACATGTGCTAACATCATTCAGTTCTCACATCTGTTTGTAAGGTTGTATGATAATTTGCTGCTATTCACAGGCCTTACCAATTGCCTTCTTCCAGTCTTAGCTATGTATTGCTTACTTACTTATGTATCTTGACTCTAATTAGCCCTTCCTGGCAATACCCTTCCCAGCCTCTACCTATGTGTAATGGTTGGTGACTTCTGTTTCAGTGTATCTGACGAAATGTGTGCACGCACGAATGCTTATACACAGAATAAAACTTTGTTGGTCTTAAAGGTGCCACTTGACTCAAACATTGATCTGCTGATTCAGACCAACACAGCTACCCACCTGAATCTATAGTTGTTGTGCTATGTTATTCTGTTACTTGCATTGGTTTGCATTTCTATCTAGTTCTGAACTGGGCTGTGGTCGCTCAAGTGGTTAAGACGCCGAACTGCAGACTGGAAGGTTCATAGTTCAGCAGTTCAAGACCCGAGTGCCGCAAGACGGAGTGAGCTCCCGTCTCTGGCCCCAGCTCCTGCCAACCTAACCTAGCAGTTCGAAAGCAAGAAATTGCAAGTAGATAAATAGGTACCACTTTGGTGGGAAGGTAACAGCGTTCTGTGCGCCTTGGCGTCTAGTCATGCTGGCCACATGACCACGGAAACGTCTTTGGATGGCGTTGGCTCTTCAGCTTGGAAACGGAGATGAGCACCACATCCCTAGAGTCAGATTCGACTGGCTTTCAAGCAAGGGAAACTTTTGCCTTTACCTAGTTCTGAAATCTGTATTGAGTTTTTTTGAGAGAGGTGGACTATAAATGGAATAAATACAATAAATATGTATTGCAGATGGAAGAATAATAGTACCATCCTAGTCAGAATTATATGCTTCTAAGGCCCATATGTTTTAATTGACCTAGAAAACTGTAACTCCATTTAGGACTGCACTGTGAGAGTAAAAAAATAATGGCTTGGCTAAATTCATGCCTTAGGAGAGGTTTGAACCTCTCAGTTATTACACTTTTTGCTCTTAAAATGAATTCCTGTGGTATGCCTTTAAATGTTTAATCTGTTCACATTCTTTTGGGAGACTAAAGGTTTGCCTTTTTAATAATATTTTGATATCTTTTTACAGTCATTGTTTTCACTTGCAGTTAATTTGTTCAGAGTGTTTTTGTGATTGCTAACATGGATCAGAATTGCCATTTTATACTTCAAATGGATTTTGAAGGCGTGGAAAATCCACACACCTACCTTTCAAAAAGGCTGCGGGTGGTGGTGGCAAACAATCGCCCCCCTCCTAACCGCTACCGCGCAGATCTCACCCCGGGAGGTCTGGGAGGTGCGTCCGCCAGCATGTCGCCATAAACCAGAAGTCCTGAAATCATATGTCTTCTCAACTTCTTCCGTACAGACCAATACTCAACGCACTTAGAGCTTGTTCTTAGTGCATGTCCATTATTTGGTGACTGAAACATTAGGTGTTGACTAGTATGTGTGAATGTGCCATTGTAGATCCACCGCCACTATAGAACATCAGCTTCAGACCCAGTGCTTTTCAGTGACATATTGAGATAATTGTTTGAATTGTATACATATGCGTGTGAACCATCCCTCTGGTTTGTATGCTAAAATGGGGGGGGGGGGAACCATTTTAGTGGTTTGCAGATCACAGCCTTTTTTAAAACATGTTACCTGAATGTATGTTGAAATGTGATACATTTAAAAGCTTTCTGATCACTGTCCATTGTCTACCAGTGGTATAGCCCAAAAGTACCAGGGGAATTTCTTTTCACTGTAGAACAGCTATACTTCTGGCAACCAACCAATGAACCACAGAATTAATGTAACCCTTCGGAATCCTCTTGTCTGACATCTTCTCAAGAGGTGAGGAGAATTGTGCTACACACAAAAGTCTTGTGGTATGTTGTAAATATCTTTCCGTTTACAAATACATGGGTTGGGCAGGTAGCAAGGAAGCAGGCACATGGGCAGTCAGTGCAAGTACCACCTCCAGCAGCAGCAGCAGTACTATGGACAGGCCCAAGATAGCCTCTGCATGTCAGCCCATTAAACTTATAACTGTTTTGTTTCTCTGGATAGGTTCAAATGTATAATCAGTGCCTTTTGAGCTACCACTCAGGCAGAAGAAAGTGACAAAGTTCAAATGTATAATCAGTGCCTTATGAGCTACCACTCAGGCAGAAGAAAGTGACAAAGTCCAGGCGTCTGCAGTAGCCACTGTCAATCACATTCCACTAATCAAGATCCCCTTCTTCACACTGAGTGTGTAGCTACATAGAAACCTAGAAAGAAGGACACTTTGTGTAACAGAAAATGGTATGGCTGCAACAACCTTTCTATTTAAAAAGAATAAAAGCACCCTTCCGTTGTGAAAAAGACGACGATAAAATACATGGGCCATGAGAGGAGATGTGGAGGTCGGGGGAGTCAGATTTTAAAATTCTTTTTTAAAATATTAGATTCTAAGCCAAAACCCAGAAACAAAATCCAAACAAGTCAAGTGTTCCCTCTAAGCTGAGTCAGTGTGAGCTAGCTCACAGTTTTTTAGCCTCCGGCTCACACATTTTTGTCTTAGGACGGATGGCTCCAGAGCAAACTAATTGATGCAGTAGACAAATCGCTTGCTCACAGCTTTAATGCCAGTACCTCACAAAGTAGGATTTTTGCTCACAAGTCTCCACAGCTTAGATGGAGCACATGTGAAGAACACCAAAGGAAAAGGGGCAACTCTGAGGCGATCCAGGAGAAGGCATGAGATGGTGTGTTTGGCTACTTTCCTTCACCTCTTGGCTCATTGCCCAATTTGTATCCTGGTTGGTTGTGCTGACTGTTTAGTAAGCTTCACTGGAAGTCCCAAGAGCTTTGTACTAAGTTTATGCTTCGATTGCACTGAACTACTGGCTTTATTGTCCAAGTTATATGTATCTGTTCCTTATTACCCTGTATGTTCCCTATTACCTTTGTAAGTTCCTAATTACCCTGGCTTGGTTCTCACTGAGGTGGTCATTGTGTGTCTGGCTGTACTGCTTCAGGCTGCAGATGGGGACTCATGACTAAATGCTCTTCAATACCAAATCCCCCACTTTCTCCTTACTCCTACTCCAAAAAGTAGATGGCAGGGGGAGCTATCTCCCTGATATCTTCTTTTCTCTGTGCAGGGAATTTTATTTTATGGAGAAGCATTTAACCATGTAAACTTCAGTTTGCATTCCAAAGTGATATGGATCTTTAACTAGGCCTCTCTTTTGTAGAACTCTGGCCTGCTGGTAGCCTTTTTATAAATAAGCTGTATGATCAGGAGCTCTGCAAGATGTATTGGTTCATAGTGGACTATACTTCGGACTACAGAATTTAAATGCTTTGTTGGCCTCAACCCTTTTCTAGCCAAAGTAATGCTCTTTTACAAGGCCTGGGGCTTTGGTTGTTGTTCAAGTATCCCCTTCAGCTCTGAGCCTTAGGCCCTCCAGCATACCCCTGATATTGTGGAAGAGTCAAGCTTGGGAAACAAAGTTTTTTGTTGTAAGAAATTCCCCAGATTATGGTTACAGAGGTGGAAGAAAAATGATGTCATAGCTATGATCTGTAGGATTGTTTGAGAAAGCCCAAAGAAGAGGGAATGCAGAGGAAATGAACAAAAGGAAGCCAAATCTTTTGTGACATGCCTACGGTTATGTTCCTTCAGTTCTGAGATCAGATGCTGTGCAGCATGTAGGGATAATGTCTATCCGATGCGACAAGCTGGTGAGATTGACAAAAATGTCCTGGCAGATTGGGCTCTGGGCTTTGTGTGATGAAGGAAGGAAGCATCTGGTCTGTATTGCTGCTTTGAAAGGTGTTCAGTGGGGTGTTGTCTGGGGACATTGAGCTGAAGTATAATGAAACAATGGCCTGTGGATTTGGTTGCTGTTTGTTTTGCAGCAAGTGGAGATCAAACAGCATTTATGCTGAATTAACGTGTTAAGAAACAGCAAGATTTCTTCTGATGCACAGGAAATTCCTCAATCAACAATCCTGTGATTTCCTTAAACTGAGCTCATCTCTATCTTTTTCTTTTCTCTGGGGAAGGAGGAGGAAGAGAGGGGAGATCAACCTATGCATGTATATTCCTAGTAACCAGGTACATACAAGCATAAACAGCACTGAAGAGCTGTGCTGAATAAAAAAAATAAACTCTGTGCCTTTCTAGGTCTCAAATGTTTAGCAGAAAATAACATCCCAATATATTTTCTTCCGTAATCACAAAGTCCAGAACCTTGCCACATTCCCACACACACACGGGAAATCCAGTGGGGTGTTCTCATCGTTGGAAATTTTTATACCACTGAATACGGTTTTCTTGCCTCCCCTCTTGTGCTGCTATGGAAGAGGCCCCCAGAAATGCTGCTGTTGGGAGGGGATATTTTGGACTGCAGCAGGATGGGGGCGCTCCTTGATTCAAGGCCATGGTCCATACTCCCTTATTCATGGCCCTGTGTATTCATCCATGAAGAGGGTCTTTTAGGGTAAGATGATATGTGTATAGCATGTGAAGTCAGTCAGTGTGAATCTAGAAGTGCATTTGAGTTTATTAAACAGATTGCTGGGCCTTGATTATGCCTTCCTTTTCTGCTCCTTCTGGTGCAATAGAAAGCAGAAGGGATGGCAGTGAGGGGCTTCACATCTTGAAAAAGATGTGAAGATCTAAGAAAAGATCTAAGCACTGACACTGCCGAAGGCATGCACACTGTGGAGAATGAATGCCCCAATAGTTACAAACAGGAGACTTTGTACTGGTACCAAGAGAAGCCTTTGTACGGTTTTGGAGCTGCAGAGTAGAGGAGTGCTCTGGAATGACTGTGCATTGGCATGAAGCCATGTGTGCCAGTGCCACACACTAAAAATGCTGATGCAAACCTGACATTTGTGACTGGTGATGTTTGGAACTCTCTGAAGCTTTCTTTTTCTTTTTTTCTAAAACACTACAAGAAAAATAGGGACGGGGAACTATAAACTACAGGAGAAAGTAAAGAAAAACCACAAAAAACCCAAGAGGTGGTGGCCATACAATGGTTAGAATACAAAGCTTATAATAAAAATAAAAATATTGGTTACATTAAATGTAATCATTACATTCGCTTATATGTTTCAAATCCAGAACTTCTGACGTCTTAAAAAATATATATAAAAGAACTCTTATATGTTATCAACAAAGAACAAAAACAAACTTAAAAAAATTAGCATCTCATTTTTTATCTTTTCTTTCCCTCAAACAATATCCTTGCTTTGGGGCTGCCGCCACGAGTTCTGAGTCCGAGCCCTCTCCAGTAGGTGATTCTTCATCACTTCCCTTGTGACTCTCCTCATCTTCTTCCTCTGATGGTCCCAGTTGCTGCTGCAAGAACGCCACTCGCTTTCATAACAGAGTCAATTTTTTCCCTTTTGTATTTAAATTTAAACAGCATGCCTTCCTCTCTGAAGCTTTCTGAAGCACAGGCTACCTGTGTCATTTTCATTTTGTATAGGAAACCTTTGTCAATCCCCTCCCCTCTCTTTTTGTAAGCCTGTTTTTTGTATTTCGGGAAGGCTTTCCACTGTATAATGGCAGTGTAGCATAGGAGACCCTGTCTGTGACTGGGGGAACCTCAGGACCTCAGCACATGAGCATTTTAATCTAAGCCTGTTTTTTGTATTTCGGGAAGGCTTTCCACTGTATAATGGCAGTGTAGCATAGGAGACCCTGTCTGTGACTGGGGGAACCTCAGGACCTCAGCACATGAGCATTTTAATCCAGGAGAAAGCTGTCCTTCAATAAATTACCAAAGAGGCTGAAGATTGGTCTGTAAGGGTGGTCATTTGGAAGCCAATTATCTCGCCTCCATGGGGTATCTTCTCTACACAGCACCAATAACCTGTAGAGCAGTTCTCTAGAGGGGTCTGTCCTGCTGACTGGAGACTCTCTATGTTACTGCTAGGTATGCTTAGTGGTTAGCAGTGGCATGGAGACTCCCTACATAATGGGGTTTTTTTTACATCTGGTGAACTGCTACTCTTTAGAACAAAGTTTGAGTCCGGTGGCGCCTTTAAAACTTACCAAGTTTTATTTAAGATATAAGCTTTCCCGTGCAAGCACACTTCCTCAGACACATTGAAACAAAACTTCTCCAAGCCTTACATACAGGAAGCTTTCCTGATGTTTTCACCACCACAAATTTCTCCAAGCCTTACATACAGGAAGCCTTCCTGATGTTTCCACCACCACCTCCCCCATCTTCCTGTATGCAAGGCTTGAAGAAACTTTGTTTCAATGTGTCTGAGGAAGTGTGCTTGCACGCGAAAGCTTACACCTTAAATAAAACTTGGTTGCTATTAAAGGTGCCACTGGACTCAAACTTTGTTCTGCTGCTTCAGACCAACATGGCTACCCACCCACCTGAATCTGCTACTCTTTAGAGCAGCCTAACATGGATGCTGTTTCAAGTAGCCTCCATATGACCATATGCCATTGGGCCTGAATGAGTATTACTTGCCCAAGGTCCTTCACCAAGCAACCGATGGAAGTTGGATAGGTGGGAGTACCATGCGGTGTCCATTCTGCCACTCAGGGATGGCTCTGTTTTTTGTCTTTTTTAAATTTGAAGCTTAATGAAGATATGGAGCAAGTAGCTTCTGGCCTGATGGCAGGAACAGAAGACGTGGATGAAGAAGATAGAAGCTCAACTGTCCTTTCAGGTGAAGACTGCTGATCTAAAGGTTCCCAAGTGACCGGTAATGTGATTAAATGAGTGCCCTGATTTATTTATTTTTTTGGCCTTGACAAGAGACAAGATAATGGCACTTCTCTGAGGCCTGCTGATAGTAGACATGAAAGAATAAGAGTGCCACTTGCAGGAAGGAGCAGGTTGCAGAATGATTTATAATGAGGCATGGCAGAGCCTCTCTTGGAATTCATTCTGGCTGGGATAGACCAGCAGCAATTGGCCACTGAAGTCATATTGCCCCCCCTCCCCATGGGCTACTCTGTGTCCTGCTTGTTGTGCATATTGTTCTTTTTATTTATTGAGAACGTTTAAAGCTTGCCTTTCTTCCAGACAACTGGGACCCAAGGTGGGTAACAACAGCATTAAAATGACCAACAGGAAAAAAAGCTTTACAATTCAAAGCCACCCACAAAGCAATCATCTTGAGGAGCCAAAGCCTTTTCTAAAGAGTTTTGTAGATGAAAGCAGGATGGCACCTCACTATCATGATCCTCACTCTTTAAACATGGAACGTCTTGAAATCTGACTTAGATGTGTGTTTTATTCCTAGACAGCAACAGCCCTTCTGTGCGTTTCAGCAAGTCCTGCCTGAAGAATGTCTTCTCAGTAATTCTCCTCTTCATTTATCTTCTGCTTATGGCTGTAGCCGTTTTCCTAGTCTACCAAACCATCACTGACTTCAGAGAAAAGCTTAAGCACCCAGTGATGTCCGTCTCTTACAAGGAGGTGCCTTTTTATGATGCTCCTGGTAAGACTAGAAACTAAACTGCACATTTTGGGGGAAACCAGACAGCCTCTGGAACTGCTCTTTACATGTTAACAGATTGACACTTCTCTATTATAGGACAATCAAAACAAGGACAAACAGATTAAAAAACAGTTTTTATTCGAGAGCTATTATTGCTTTAAATGCTGTATGAATTGGAATTTGGTGGTTTTGTTGACATTGGTGGTTAAGTTGCAATGTGAACCCTAATGGTTGTGTGAGTGTATATGAGTATGGTTGTGTGAGTGTATATGAGTATGCTTGTAGATCACCGAATGATTGCACCTTAATTTCGTTGTACTATGTACAATGACAATAAAGTATATTATTATTATTATTGTTTGAGCTTAGCACCACCCAGTTTAGTATTATGTTGGGCTGCGGGGTTTATACTGCACATGTGGACAATTAAGCACTGTCTGTCAGGACCCACAGCCAAACAACGGAGCACACACTTCCAAG